GCTACTAATATTTATTTTAACGCAACCGCTCTGGCTGATGGAAGAACACGTGGTGGCGAACGATTCACTCGATCGCCAAATTGAACCTTGATGGCACGAGATTTAAAGTAATTCCGCTGAACGTTTTTAGTGGGATATAAACTGTAATATCCTGCGATAATATCGCATACATTTCGTGTTAAGTGCGCGGATCTTTATGTTAGATTTTATATTATTTCACTTCCGTTGTTGACTGTACATGCCAAATAATAATAACGTTTAAAATGTAATTTACATATTTTATTATTGCTTTATTATATATAAAACACACCACAGAAAATACATATAAATGAGGAAAACATAGTTTTAGAGAATTTTTTTTTTTTAGTATTTATCTTTAAATTGCAGACAAACATTTAAATGTTGTTTTTTTATAAACATTATAAACGTTTGACCACTGTCATATTTACACATATTACACTATATAATTTGAAATTAGAACATATATTGATAAAATTTACGACTCGGGCTGGACTTGAATCGGCATCGTCAGCGCTCCGTGCTCTAACCAATTGAGCTACCGAGGCTTAATTCAACCTTGTTTAGAGCAACAGCAAGAAACCCTGAGGTTGCCGGTTCAAATCCTGCCCGAGTCGTAAATTTTTGCAATGTATTTTCGATTTTTAAATAAAATATAAAACTAATCTTAATCTGATTTAATAATGACGGGCAATATTTAAATAGTTTGGCATCCCTAACGATGCAGCTGGCGTTTGATACAGTTAACGGACAAATAAATCCGTCCTATTTTCCTATTTAACCACTCAGCTGACAGATAATGGCCGTACTCGTACAAATGTTTTGTTGTTCATATCATTTCTGTGTCAATTGATATATGCGCAAACATAAACGTCCCATACTTTGGGTATATTTAATTTAGTTATCATAACTATACAGTGCTGCATAAATTGTATATATTACTAGCTGTGATTATCGTCCGCGTTTCGTCGTCCTTTCAAGTAAATCTTAAAAGATAGATATATACTATCGCAGGCATCTCTTAAATCATTTTTGAGGAATCATTTTTTTATAAAGTTTTTTTTATTTCTTGAACCGTTTTGCAAACCCGTATGCCACTTGTTTAATGTCCAGATTTCCTGACGAAGTCCAACATGTTTCAGAAAAATATAAATTGAAAAAAATGGCGCACCCGCTGGAGATTGAACCTACGACACGTAGCCACACTTTGCTACTATTACCAACGATCGTAAAGATTTCGAGTTGCGAATCGCTACGTCTCGTTAACAGCTCTGTGGTCATTTTTGGCGGGAAATTGCCTTATATCCGATGTAATCGCGATACACCTTTGCGAGTAGTTTTTTACAAGCTTTCCATTTTTGGAGGAACCTTTGATTTGACCTTTTTGAAAGTCTCTCGGCTTTAAAATCTATTTTTATCTAAGAATTTAATAATGCATGTAAATTTAGATATAAGAAAATTAACCCTAAAAGTATTTTTAAATAAGCACTGTTTCCTCTGTCATAATATAAATTGTTCTCTGACATGTGACAGTTTATAAAACACATAGATACCACAGACTCCAATACTTCAAATCGATTTTGTTTAAACGATTTTTAATCGATTGATATACCGACAGTCGTTTTGCATGTAAGCCAAGTTTAAATTGAAATTTGATAAAAAATAAAACCACAACGCGATTTTTAGCTACACTAGATTTATTATCAATTTCTGAAACCTGTCAAATATGTTACGAGTTTTTTTTAATAGTTATATTTACTTTTTAATTTTACGCCCCCGTAGGTCATTGGTTCGCGCTCCGTAGCATTGAGTAAAAAGCTAAGTCCCGGCTTTGTGTCCTGCTAAAAAATAGTTTAATTGGGGTCCTTCAGAGCGCAGAATTCAGATCAACTATATTGCAGCTTGTAAAAATATGATAACTGAAAGGGACACAAAAATGTGTCCCTTTCGATGCCGTAAAGAAGCAACGGGTTTGCGGCATTCAATTATAAATCAAACGCACTAATTAGCTAATCGTTAAGATCAAGCCGAAGCAAGTATTTCTATTTCGTTCAAATATATTGCGAAGGCATTTTTGTAACGACAAGCTTCTGGCTACAATATTTGAGGTGAAAGCCCAATTTCTGTGGGAATTCTGTTATGGAACGTTGTTAACGCGTAGAGTTTAAGAAGGAAATTTCTTTGTCTTTTACAAGAAGTATTTTCAGTACCTGCTTTATGTAATATTTACTTTTACTTACTTACTTACTCACTTTCACTACTTTTAAATTAAAACGAATAGGATTTGTCTACGTCGATCAATATTTACATGCATGTCGACGCTGAAAAGCGTCCTAAAGGTATGATTGTAGATAAAATAATAACTAATTTGTTTTATTAATATGTCTTACTCGTGCAGTTATTTCAAAATGCACAATTGCTAACAAACAGATACCTACTTACCTATCTATGCTAATATATAAAGAGTTTGTTTGTTTGTTTGAACGCGCTAATCTCAGGAACTACGGGTTCAAATTCAAATTAAAAAATTCTATTTGTTTTCGTTAGAGCATTTATCGAGGAAGGAAATAAAAATAGCCTTTATTGCTGTTTAAAAGTTCAAATACAATGAGTTTTGTTTATATTCCATTGTTATTAGCTTAACATAAACTAGTATATTAATTTATATAATTATATATAAATTATTTTTTGTAAACAGCTTGTCCTTCGACGAAGGCCTCCTCTAAACCATTCCATGCTTGCATGTCCCTTGCTACTCTTGACCATCTTGTGCCAGCAGTTTTTTCAGGTCATCCTCCCAGCGCTTAATCTGACGTCCTGGACTTCTTTTTCATCCTCTATGATACCATTCACTTATGTTTTTTGTCCATTTTTATTTTCATCTCTTGACATATGGCCGGCACAGCGCCATTTTAAAATTTTGCATCTTTAAATCTTGTGCACATTTTCAAGTCTTTTAATCTCACCTTCTCTTTCCCCTTAACACCTACTACACTTCTTTCCATGCTATTTTCGGCACACTTTTATTTTTGCCATTAGTTTTTCTGTCATTGTCCAAGTTTGACAATCATAGGTCAAACATGATATGGTTAAAAAAAATTCTTTTATCTCTCATTGGCATATCTTTGTTCTTCATGATTTCGCTCAAAGACCAGATCATCTTTTCCATGTATTTGTTATTCGACTGTCAATTCCTTTGTACATTGTGTCCCATGCGGAAATGAGTTGGCTTAGATAAGTGTATTCCTGTACCAATTCAATCTTTGCATCATTTAATCTAATGTCTATGTTTTGGGGATAGTTGCTCATTCGTCGTTTTAGATGTATTCATAGTTAGGCCTGCTTTGGCACTTTCATCCGATAGCTCTAGTAACATTTGCTGCAGGACATTCTGAGAAGAAAATATAATGGTGTTCTAAATTGTCAGGAAGGCTATAAGCATATATAAAACATTGTCCTGTGACGAATACAAGCGAAGATACAGCGAGAAATGTGAAAAAAGTTTTGGAAAAATTATTCATCATTATGGGTTTCCGAGGCGTACAATGCAAAAACGGTTCAAGATACCCAAAAAATATGTGTTAAAGAACGATTCCTCTTTAAGTGATCTATGCAAAAGTCCGCAACGCTATATAACTATATTTTAAGATTAGCTTGCAAGATCGACGGGGAGGGACGCGACACAGCTTGTTAACTATATATTTTTTATTCTTGTGAGTTAACCGTTTGTTTAAATCCGAATACGATTTTTATTTTTAAACTAGTCAGCCCGCTAAGAGTTTGTACAATAGTCTATAACTATAATAAACATTAGGTATCCAACAAAATCAATATAAAACGCGAAAAATAAGATATAAAAAGTAAATTTTTAACTAATTTAAAAATAGACAATAAATTGATAAAATTTTCGACCCGGGCTGGACTTGAACCGGCATCGTCAGCGTTCCGTGCTCTACCAATCGAGCTAACGAGTCCTTTTTACAAAAATATTGCACAAATACAAACAATTAATCACTAATATATATAATATATAAATACAAACTACACATAAAAAACTAAATATATTAAAAGGACATACAGACGCACAAATCGTACCTTTATAGTTGTAATAATGAAAAGCCCCGCTGCCGCTTACATAGAGCTATAAATATGAGTGCAGAACCAACTAAGCGTGGTAAACTGTTTATTTACACCTAATTAACTGTGTGCCTGGCGTTTCAATATGACTTTATGAGATGCGGTCCACATATTAATTTAGAACAATTATTCAGTGCAAAATAGTAAATAGCCGCGCAATATGAGAATATGATTTTAGAGAATTAGTTATTTAAATAAAACACTTTAACGGTTTAAAACGCGATATATATTAGTTAAACATATTTGAATATTTTAACTTCGGCCCGACGTTTCGGATGCTTTGCAGCAGCTGCAAAGCATCCATATTATATCGTGCATAACTGCATCTGCAAAAAACATATATTGCGGGTTTAAACCGTTAAAGTGTATGTAAAATGGGTACTACTCGCGTAAACTACATACAGTATTAAATTAGTTATTTCTTTATATTATGTCTACTTATTTATGGCAACATTTCAATTTATTTAGTTAAGTATCGCTTAAGTTTTTATTAGATTGACTTTTTTTTATTAAAAACTTGTGGGAGAATAAATCGTATCGTTACGTAACGCGTTACAGTGTCAGTTCTGCAAGAACCCAGTCATTTTCACCGAATACCAACTACAACGGAATAGATGGTGCTAACGTAGCAGTTTTTACTTTAACACTAGAGACGCAGTGACATAATGTTAACTAATTTCGAGTTTTAAACCGTTACAAGTTTGTACTATATCTCGATCATGTCTAACATACTTTCGCATATATATAGTAGTTATTTAAATACACATGCATATGTTTAACTGCACGAGCGACAGCTAATCTTGGATAAAAACATCACTAATCATATCCTCTGGTCGGGGTTAAAAATGTGTGACAATGGCGCGCCCGCCCGCCCTTTGCCCGAAGCGAGTCACGCCGGCGCCCGCCATCTATCGGCAGAGCAAGGACATCCCGCGTCCCTCCAGAGCAAAGCATTACGTAATCCGGGAACACGTAGGTTCATTATCAACTTTCGCGGAGTTTACTCTGAATCCGATTAAAATGCCGACGGTTTTTTAATTAAAGCCCGTTTCGTGCGTTCCTTGCGGGCGCGCGTTCAATTGTTTTTATTTACTGTTCAAGGGAAAGAGCTGTAGGACGTCGGGTTATACTTAAACCTGGTATTAGTTTGTACCATCCAATCCATTTGTATCGAAAGCCAAAATAGGTCGATAGCGCATCTGGTTTAGAAGCTATAGGCTGAGATATATCACTTACCATCAAATGCACCCCATGCCATATTTTTCCTCCTGTATTATTAAAAAAAAAACAATGTGGGCAGTCTTATAATGGATTACATTTTATTTCATTAATTTATTTGTTTCTTTTTTTTATTTACCTGTAGTCGTCGAGCGTGAAAACTCGCTAACATAGTATAATGTAAAATATTATCACAATTAAACTAAATCTCTTTTAAATTAAGCAAACCATTTAACGTTTGACCATCTCTGTAGCTAAATGTACATACATACATGTTGCCTAGACTGCTTTAATCACGAGAGGTCGATTCGAATCCCGGGAAAACACACATCGTTTCAGGCGGCCAGGTCACAGAAGTCTGATCAAATACTTACCTGAGAATGTGAACCACCTGTGAAACGAACACAAAAATAAGATCGTTGCCCCGTGGGGGAAACGGGACTTGACTCAAACTTACTTAACATTAAATACTGTCTGTAGTTTACGCGAGTAGTACACCTAGTATTTTTAACTACGGCTCGACTTTTCCCCCTGGCCACGGCTGCTGCAAAGCTTCCTAAACGTCGGGCCGTAGTTAAAAATAATTTTCAAACAAGTTTAACTAAAATATATCGCGTTTTAAACCGTTAAAGTTTTTTATTTAAATGTGTACTCGCGTAAACTATAGACAGTATTTACTTAACATTATTTATTTTACAATAAATAGGAAAATTACAACTGCAGTATTATATCTATATTTCTTATAGCTACAACTATAATATCGACTTTTTAATGATTTAACTATTGGGAACAGTAAAGGCTGTCAGTGAGAATTCTTGCTGCCAATTAACTTTATAAATATTGTTTATTACTGACGTTTTTAATCGCAGTTAGTTTGGAAAATAATTTATTTTTTATTTGCTATAAGTGATTTGTTGCTTCTATACTTTTATACTTGACTCGATGCAAACGTTCGCGTTTCTATGGTCTTCGAGAAATATGATATAAATTGTTAGTCATGTTCACACACATATTATTGTGCTTTTATTGGCATTTTATTTGATCCTTTTCGCAACACTGAAAATAAAAATATTAGTATACATTAATCAATAATATATTTTTAAACACTCAAATTGAAAAATTAAGAAATAAAATGACCTGGCCTCACTTGGACCCATCGAGACTTAAAATTATTTCACTGTACATAGTGTACTACTTAAATGGCAAATACGGGCTGTGAAGTAACTTCTTATTGAATAACATATTTATTACTTAATATACAAAATTACATAAATAGTAAGAATTATTATTAGAAATGGATTTTGTGAAGTTAAATTATGTTTATGTTGGTAAGACTTTTATAAATAAATAATGTACTGACAAAACGGTAAAAAACAATCATATATATGTCATTATTTTTTATCTGTATATACTAGCTTATAATATATCTCTGTATTACATATTCAATATGTTGATATATTCGTCTCTCTCTATTAACGTACATCAATTGGATTCAAATATACAGCTTGCTCATTGCGATTTCTCAAAATTACCATCCTGTTTTAAACCTGAAAATTCTATGCACCGACGTGTACATTTTATTAAAGGGGAAAGGCATCATACGAGTTTCCTGGAAACAAAATGGAACTAAAAGGAAAACCTTGGCCAACATTGTGATTCATGTTTTAAAATGACACGTGTGAACTTTTAGCAGTTTGCAGGTATTTTTATAGTTCAGATTCACGTGAAATTGTCATTACTATTATACTCTGTAATTATAATGAAGAGTAAAAATATGAAATCCCGTTTTATTTAAACAGGGTGAACTGGACAGAGGCGTTTATGCGTCTTGTTTTTCCGATTGTATTGTATTAGAGCAATAATTATTACTAATCCCACGGGAACGACGATCTTGAGCTAAATGTAATGCTAGACCGTTGATCCACTTACATATATAATTCTTTTTTTTGAAACATATTTGACATTTGAAAACATTAATATTTTTCACATGTTATTGCACATGAAGGCACTATATAATTTAAATGCTATCGGTATTGAATGGGTGGTAGGAATATCGACATTCCGTTCTAGTCACAACCACGCTGATACATGAAAAAGCCGTGAAGTTTAATCTCATGTCGGTTGTTAGATATGGATTTCCAAATATCCAAAGCCAAAGGTCGACGGTGCATCTTGTTTAGATATTATAACATCTATAGCCATATATGGTATTTCACGTTCCACCTAGCAAATTGTAAAACGTATTTTTAAGATTGGAACGTCTTAAAGATGCTCTTACATAATTCCGGGGTTACATTGAAATTTATTACATATAAGGCAATGACAGATTCCCTTAGAACAGCAAGTTGATGAATGAAGTCTAGATATACTAGTTCGCGTTGAGGCGCCGCGAAGTCGGTGGGTGTCTGGCGCCGTCGCGTCTCCGGAGGAGCCAAGAAACCCCTTGGAACTCGCCCAGAGATTATTTTTTCCTATTGATGTAGGCACCGAGGCCACTTAGGCCGTTATGTTAATGGGCTGAACCCTGCGCAGCTATCCGTCATTGTCTTACGCAGGTCTTTCTTGCCCTTTTTAATGATCTCGCATCGATAATGAGCTTTGATACGTATACTAAGTACGGTCTTTAGTTTTTGCGAACAGTACACATTTAAATAAAACACTTTTAACGGTTTAAACACGAAATTTATTAGTAAGGCTTATTTACCAAACGTCTGCTCGTGACCACGGTTGCTGCAAAGCTTCCGAAACGTTTCGCTGTAGTAAAAATATTTTTGTAAATAAGTTTCGCGTTATAAACCGTCAAATGTTTTTTTATTTAACGCGATTTTTTGCGGTGACTTATAGTTTTGATGAAATTTCTTTAGCAGTATCTGTCATTGAAGACAAACAGATTAATTTTTAACCGTTTAACCGAAGAGATAATTAAGATCAAATTTCTTGGTACTCCTGGCAGTGATGTCATAATATTATAATCTATATTTTTTGTCACAATAAACTAAATATAAAGTAATTTGTAGTTGACATTTTAAGTTTTTTCATGTTAAATACTGTCTATAGTTTACGCGAGTAGTACACATTTAAATAAAACACTTTAACGGTTTAAAACGCGATATATTAGTTAAACTTATTTGCTGCTGCAAACCATCCGAAACGTCGGGCAGGTAAAAATCATTTTCAAATAAATTTAAATAATATATCGCGTTTTAAACCGTTAGTGTTTAAAACGGCTAAGTACCGGGCTTCAACGTTTACTGCATGTCTTGAAGATATGAGTACACCGTGTACACGCTTAAATATGTAAAAAAACCCATAATAATGCATTTGTATTTTACCCTTAATTCCATTCTTTATCTGTTTTTTTATTGTCAGCAATTTCTGCATTGTACTTAAAATACTTGTTGATTTTCGTTTCTTAGGAGTTTCAAATTCAGAAAACTTTTAAAACCGTGTCTGTAAATCTACAGTATTAAAAAAATAAGGCACTAGCACAATTCGAAATTTAAAGCAAAGAGGGATATTTGAAAGGAATAAAAGCGGCCCGTTTATATATTCCCGTAATCCGCTAATAACATGTTATGCGGGAGTTGTGACTCTATAAATCGGGAAATGGAAAATGGCCAAGTAGAATGCGGTAAGTGTACCTAACGTTAAATAAAGAAACTTGGCGATGCTATGCCCAGCGTGCATTGTAAACGCGAAATGTGCATTGTTTGTTTGTGACGCTGTACGCGGCTCCACTTTCAAATATTACAAATGAAAAATCAAGAAAAATCTTTTATAGCCTATAGGCTTATATTACGTAAAACTGTATACGATGAATACTCAAGTATACTTCCGTTTAAAGACATTTATTCCTCAACTAGCTAGTGTTAGCGACTTCGTCCACGTACAATTGTTATTTTGTGCCTCGAAATTTGTTTTTGCAAACGTCGTCTTCATTTTTATAAATTAAAACGATCCACTACGTCAGTCGAGTCTCGTCGTTCTTACAAGTTAATCCTTAAAGACATGTTTTTAGATAATTTCAAAAGGAATAATTCTTTCTTTTTTTTTATTTCTTTTTTTCTTATCTTTGAGTAAACCGTTTTTGCAGTGTATGCATCGGAAACCCACAAAGATACATAATTTCCCCCGTTTTTCCCCATTTTCCACAGTTTCTCGATAAATGTTCTAATCAACACAAAAAAAATCAATTCGAACTCACGTTCCTGAGATTAGCGTTTTAACGAATAAACAAACACTTCAGCTTTCTATATAAGTAAATATTAAAAACAGGGTATAGGAGCGAGTACCTTTAGCGTAAAAAATAAATAAATGTGCTATTAAAAAACACATTAACGGTTTTACACGCGATATATATTACTTAAACTTATTTCAACATTATTTTAACTACAGCCCGACGTTTCGTTAGCTTTGCAGCAGCCGTGATCAAGAGAAGACTAATATATATCGCGTTTAAAACTGTTAAAGTGTTTTATTTATATATATATTAAATGTGTTATTAGTTAATTGAAGTAATTAGCGTTTGGACGCAATTATTCACGATATAGCTTCGTGACGTATGATAGCCGTTTATGACCTCTCCATAGATATGAGCAATCAACGGAGAGTCAATAAATATGTTATTAATGATATTGACATAGACGGCAATCGAGTTTGCGATGGTCCATTAAAAGTTATTGTTAATTGCTAATAAAATCGAAGCCTTCGGAGTTTATTCCAGCGTTTTCCACATAAAACCTACATGCTAATTCACTA